TCACTTCTCAGGATATTGTATTTAGCAAGTTCTGACCAGCTGAATAAAGCACATCCCACCTCTGTCTTTTGCAGCTTCTGATGCACTAATTACCCTCCTCTCTTCCCTCCTTCTGAACCCAAGGAAGAGAGTTCTGTTAGTCTTGCTGCAGGGTTATATTTTAACTGGACACAGCTACGATGGAAACGCAACAGTTACTCCAAAAGAAACAGCAATAAGCAAGAAGTTGCCGAAAGTTCCCAGTTGTGGGGAATGTGCTGTGTAGGGATGCTCTGGGGCCGTGGGTGGTCTCTCGGCCTCTGAATTTCTAAGTGTTTTCAAAGAGATTTACCCATTTCGTTCCCAGGTTTGTCGGAGCCCTTGTCCCCCACTGGCGTTGCCGTCAGGGTGTTAGCGTCTCTCGAAGGCAAGTCTGAAGCACGAGGGATGTTGTGGGAGGACCAAACACTGTTGCAATAGCATAACCCAAACTGCTTTTTAAATAAGGGATACATCTATATCATATCTTGTTTTATTGGTGACTGTTAATTCTAGTATGTATGACATCTTTGTTTGCCCGCTCTGTGGTTATACAGCCTGTCAGGCGTCTCTCCCCAGACCCCGGGATAAATCCAAGTAAGAACAAATTGCTGAAAAAGCCTCCTATAAAGAAAAAGGAGAACAGCACTGCCATGCGCTGCCGGCTAATACCCACATATTCATGTATACATGCTTTTTCTGAAATCTTTCTGCTTATTTTAAAATAATATAGCACTTTACCTTTTGTTTCTTTATTGTATCAACTTCCTCTTTTTTTTTTTCTTAAATTACAACCCAGAATCTTACAGCGCGTATTGCATAATACCTGTATATTCTAAAATTGGTTTTCTGTCTTTTAAATGTCATTTCACATTACTAGGAGAAATTCCATATGGAATCATTTTCTCAAGCTCAAAAATACTTAAACAAGGTTGGAAGGTTTATTTATGTTGCGTGTGCTCATTAAAAGTAGGCACAGCAAGAAAACCTAGAAGGTGTAGAAAATCTGTGAGTTTCTATGGAGGCATTTTGCATCTTTTTAATTAAATCAGCTCGTTTCATTAGAGGTTCAAAATTTGTCACTAGAAAACATATCTGCTCCTATTTTGCAAAGTGATTTTATTTCCGTTCCCTATCAGCCTTCTCTTCTACAAAATTAACACACATTTGGTGTGAACTACAGACCCTTGCCTGAAAAAAGTGGAGACAATGTGGGTTTTGAGAAGAGACTTTGATTAGTTCGTAATCCAGATAGCATACTATTTGTTGGTTTTCAGATGTAATTTAAATGACGCAGCGGTGGGAGTACCCATTGCGCTGCTGAAACAGGAGCTGGCTGAATAACTCTGCTCCCCGCCCCCTGTTTATGCATTGCCTATACATTTATGTAATTTTTTTTTTTATTATTTTTTAAGTGCAAATGCACCAGCTGCACTTATGGTGACATTGAAATACCTAGAACCTATATTTTCCTTTCAGAAAAATAATCTCAAAAGCTTGTTGAGACTAACAGGAGTTTCCACAGAGGACAGATTTCAGGGATTTATTGGGGCAGAAGGCACATAAACCAGTAGATAATAGTAAAAATTCACTGGTTGTTTACCGGGTGGGTTGGATTTGTTGTCTATTCCCTTAAACATTTATTAAAATCCTCTTAATTTGCAAAGCGGAGGTACAAGCTGCCTGCCTAAAGAAAACTAAACCATTACCATTTTGTTCTTGACCTTTTCTGTCCATGAATTTCAGCTGTAATTGAGAGTTTGGTGGTTGTGATCCTGCATTTCAGTCACACTAGCCCCCTTTTTGGGGGTTGCTTTTTTTTTTTTTTTTTTTTTGCATTCTGTATCTTTTAATTAGTTGACTGTAATTCTTCCAGGTCTCGGGCCGTGGGGCGTTTAATGGCTTTTGACACAAAGAAAAAGTGTTGAGAGATTTCATTCATTCCTCCTCTGGGGTTGGATGTCTCACTTTCCCCATGCGAGACACACAAGGAGCCTCAGTCAGAAAGTGGGTTTCTCTTGCCAGGGTGTTTCAGCAGAATCGGTGAATAATGTGGCAGAATTTTGCAAGGACGCAATAGCAAAACCACTGCTTTACCTCACCAGCCCGCGGGCACCACTTTTGTTCTGATCACAGCAGGTTTTGAGTGATGTACACACAAAGGAAAAGGAGAGAATGAACAGAAAGTAGTTTATGGCTTTCCTCAAAGGCACTTTTCTAACTCAAAAATATAAGCCTTGTGGTTTATATGGTTTTGAAATGTAACCACAGATATTGAGAACTGGAAAACGTTTGATTTACCATCTCCTCCAATTTTGGTTCCAGATTGAGGGCAGAGGAAATTTATTTTCAGAATGAAAAATGTTGAAAGGAAATTTACTAATGTCAAAATTTTTAAAACAAGAACATAGTACTTGGAGAAACGGTCAGGTGAAGATATGGAGGTCATGTGTGGAATGGGTGCAGATGTGTCTGTCTGGGATCTCCACCAAGGTGTAATAACCTTGCTTTGGTGAAACTTTGCCAGATATTTTATGGTCTGCAAACCCCATTTTTGGAGCTGTGAAGGAGCGGTGTCAGACTGAGGACTTTCTCTTCAAGCTTGGTCTAGGAACCGAATGGCATCAGCTGCCCGGCGCACCCCTCGGCCTCTCCAGCAGGGCAGACCTGGCCGTCCTTGGCTGCTCACAGCAGGGAGCAGAGAGAGCTGCTGCTCTTCTACTTGCCACACTCTTTTTTTATGCTGGTTTACATGGCCTCATCTTTGTTTTGTTCATTGAACGCCCCTTGCTGATAGCTGGATATCTCTGCAGTATGTAGGAGTCTCTGCGGAATTTAACTTTCCTTTAGAAGTGGAGATTCTGGGTGTTCTTGGTGTGACACATGAAGGTGTTTTTCTGGCCTCTGTGACGTGTCCTTCCTTTTGCGGGCACTGTTCTGTCACTGGTTTAATACGAGTATCTTAGTAATTGCTGCTTCTTGCTCCTGCTACAGTGTCTGGAGGTTCTACTCTGAGTTGAGCCCAGGTGCACTTGTGGTTCAATTATGACCGTTTGGTTTTCAGTTGCTTTGCTTTGTTCTTCCTTCCCTTGCAGTTCTTCCTCTCTCCCTTTTGTGTTGAACAATCGTCTGCTCTCCAGATTTGTTCTGGAAGGCTTATGAAACTCCTTGTAAGGTCCCATCCTTTTCCCTCGGATAGCCTGGCATTACTTTTCTGATACTTCTCTGGTTCCTTCTTGGATGTGGATGAGCAGGAACCTATCTGGTATTCTAACAGGAACATAACAGTACTGTTATGGCTTCATTATCCATGCCAAAGACACTCATTTTTCACTCTTTAGGCGTGCCAGGAGAACCATGAGGAAGCCAGTCCCCAAAGAGGTCCTGCAGGAGAAAGAAAAGATGAATTGCTCATTTCCTTCAGGACCCAAAATGTTGTGCACCTGCACGTTCACGTCTTCTGTCCTAGCTGGAGGGTAGCTAGATATGGTAGCTCAAGATCCAACGTCAACTGCAGCGTCTTTCCACTCCGGTGGGACCAGGCAAAAGCATGATGTTGCTTTGATGTCTCTTCTCTCCTCATTCAATCCTCACTGTGGACAATTGAGTGGGAATTATCTTTCTTATGCACAGACTGAACAGAGAGCAAAACCTTTTGGGCAGGTCGTGCTGGAAGATGGGTGGTTGCCATCCCCGTGGTCGACCTTCTCCCACCCCAGTGGTTTGGCACTGGCCTCGAGCGGGGCTTGGCAGCCCTGAGGCACTTCATAGAAAATCTGCGTTATGGGTGCGTTCACTTCCAGGGCTTGGGGAGGGGGAAGGTTGTTTCCTACTTACCCGTGCTTGCACCGTGGCATGCTGGCAGCACATTGACTGGAGAGATGGTTTTCATGCGTCCATGTATTGAAAGAATGGTGGGATCTGATTTCAGTTACAGGGAGGTAAGGTAGGAAAAAGTCATGTAAGAAAAGGGCTTGTTTTGTTGATTGAGGTTTAGAAAGCTTTTTAACAAGTTGAATTATTGGCTGTATCTGAAGTGAAACACTGCTTTCCTAACTGCTCTCATTTCCTGTATCATTCCAGCTTGTTCACTGCATTAATTACAGTTCAGATTTACAGTGTATTTGGTTACCCACTGGGTTGCATTCTAATTTTTTTTTCCTGTGTGTGTATAAATTTCTGTGGGAGTCAGGCCAAGCGGAGAGTGTGTATATATGCACGCACACACACATGGGCTGAATTTGACTGTGAGTCGCTAATTTTGTGGGGAGTAGGGGTCTGGATTTTCTTCTGTTTTGTTGTAAAAAGAGACTTTTCTTTTTTCCAAAGGAATAGCAGTAGCTGAGAACAGCCAGTGTTTGGAGAGTTCAAGATTTCAGAACAACCAGAGATGAGAGAAAATATTATCTTATGAATTGTAAATGTGGCATTTTTAATTTGGCTGGTGTTTCCCAGAGGTTAGTGGATAATGGCAATGCTATCATTCTCTTGGCTCAACCAGTAATCAGCTTGCTACTTAATATATTTTATAAATGCAGTGCTTCAGAGTTTAGTTGGATGAGGTAGAGCTTTTCACAGTTGAAGTAGCTTTTTTTGACCTGAAATATGAAGTGAGATCGGATACTAAGCAAGAAATCTAGTGTTTGGAAATGAGCTATTTAGGAAGTGTAGAACGCAGAAGGTGACTGAAAGGACGTTTCCTTTGCAATTTAACATTTTTCTTTTGGCTTTGTGAAAACATAAGAGGAGGTGCACTAAATATACGAGGAGTGTTTTAGAGAAATTCATGTTTTTAAATTCATTCTTCACATTTAAACTGTTGATGCAGTAGAAGATTTTCATTCAGAATGTTCTGAGTCATGGTTTCATAAGTTAATGATTGCAAATTAAATAGAACCAGATATCAAAAATGTTACTGCTTTTAAAATGAAATATTCCTAAACATTTGGTTCAGAAATACTGGTGTGATGAATAATGGTATCATGAATAATACTGGTATGATGAATGATAATAAATACAGAATAACAGTTGACTGCAAGGTCTCAAATAACTAAGTGAAAAGTAAAAGAGAAAAATTCCAAATAACCTCCTTTTGCAATAATTAATCATTCTTTTTTTTAGCCTTGCCGCTAATCCCAGCAGCATTTCATCTTTCCTTTTCCTCATACACCATTTTGCCTGAATCCCGTCAGCCCACGATGGCCACCCTGTGCTTGACGAGCAAATCAAGGCGGATCTGCCCGTAAATTGACCCACTGGCAGCTTCCATCCACAGGTTGCGATGAGGTTGACATTTTAGAGCCATTTCATTAAAAATTAGTGTGTTGATAATCCTGTCCAACCTGCGCAAGATGCTTACTCTTCTAGGACCATTATGTTTCGATATTAAAAAGGGAGGGGGGGGGATGTATTTGACGCGTAGCAGCAGCATGATTTAGTTGTAAATGCAGCAATACAGCTTTTCAGTATTTGAGCCTGTGTGGGTGTTTAGTTAAAGCCATGCATGGATGATGTCTGTTATTTTGTTAGGATTTCAGAGTGAGGGATTTTAGCACTTTAATCCTGACTGACAGTTGGAAGGTTGGTGGTTTCAAACATGGTGGCACAGAGTAGCTGATTTCTCCTCGGTGAAACAATGCGCCAGTGTGTCTAGGCTGCCTGTACAGAGCCAATAAATCTGTTTTGTTTTGTTTTTCTCCCCCCTTTTCTCCCTCTCCCTCTCTCTCTCTTCCCCCTCCTCCAGGCCAGGACGCACTCCTATTGCTGAAAACTCTTCAGCTTCTCTGGACAAAGAAAGAGATGAAGAAGGTAAGGTCGAGCCTCCCCTCCACGCTGCAGTTAATAACTGCATGCAGAGCATGTCCAGACGCAGAACGCTTAGGTCAGACCTGCAATTCTTCATGAGTGCTTTCAGTTCCCGCACACAGGGGAAGAGCCTGTGCATTTGCAGCAAGAAGTGAAAAGAAAAGGTAGCTCTGTGTGATGTGAAGCAGCTCAGGGGCTCTTATAAAAGAGCTGAAGTTTACAGGGCTGAGTTACAGAAGGAAAAAAATCAAAGTTGCTTTTGTTTTCTTTTAAACACTTTTTTTGTCCATTAAATGGAGGGTCTTTGGGAGAGGGGGAAGAATATTTCTAGTAGCTGAAAAAATGAGGGTTGAAGTCAGTAGAAAAGTGCTCTTTGCCAAGTGGAATGATATCAAAGCCTTCATATTCAAAGTATTTTTACTTTTTTTTTCTGATTTGGTTTGGTTTTGCCTTTTAGAGTGGTGAATGCAATTTACACTGCCTGTTTAAAATTAGAGCTATATTTTTATACAGCACCCTATGGGCTCTACGTGGAGATTTCTCATAGGGAGTAAAATGTACTTCATCTAAATTTGGGAGCTTGAAAACTAGCAAAAACATTAGATGCATCAGCTTTGTGGTGAGTTTCCTGTGTTTAGCTCTGCAATGTTCAGGCAGGTTCATAGCTGAGATGTTTTTTTCTAAAGGATCCAAAGACCTGCAGCTCCCCACACAGCCACGTGGAGTGTGTCCTGTGTGAAATGCCCAGCGTGGCTGGGTACCTTGGTGTACGTGCTCCATCCTAGGTGTCTGGAGGCTTTAGTCATTGTCCTTGTCCGCCGCACTTAGACTTTCCATTACTGATAGTCTGTGGTTCCCAGCTGGAATAATTAACTGGAAACACAGTGTGAGAGGTGCCTTTCCAAATGGTCAGTCACCGACATAGACTTGAGCTCAGCAACTTGGAAGCCTTGAGCTTTCTATCAAGTTTTGTTAGGGTTGGAAGAAAAAAAAATATTATTTGTTAGGTCTTGAGGGCAGTTAATCCCACAAAACAACAGTAGGAAAGAGTAATCATCAAAATCTCTGTACTGTGTACCCTGGGATGTGTATGGATTGTGAAGAAAAATACTCTGAAAGAGACAAAGCCTCCCATCGATGTGTCCTTGGGCAGAAAGCACCGCAGCTTGCCTGCTGAGGGTGGAAAAGCTGGAGGATCCCCATGAGTCACGCTTGCAGCTCCGCTTGTTCAGTTTGGTTGTTTCTGGAATGCTCATCCCAGTGAGACGCGTGGTTTTGCAGAGCATGCAGGCTGCAATTCACCGACCAGGGCAGGTCTGTCCCCCTTGGTCCCAGCCGTCAGGCAGTGCCGCATGGCTGCAAGCACGGGCAGAAGCGTGTTTCTGAGCCTGGAGGATGCTTTTCTGGATCAGGAGGAGGGCTGTGGTGGGACCAGGCGGTGGCACAGCATGAATGGCATAGAATCATAGAATTGTCTAGGTTGCAAGGGACCTTTAAGACCATCCAGTCCAACCGTCAACTTAACACTGCCAAACCCACCACTAAACCATGTCCCTCAGCACCACGTCTGCCTGTCTGTTAAATCTCCCCAGGGATGGCAATTCCACCACTGCCCTGGGCAGCCTGTTCCAGTGTTTGACAACCCTTTCGGTGAAGAATTTTTTCTTAATATCCATCCTAAACCTCCTCTGGTGCAACTTGAGGCCGTTTCCTCTTGTCCTTGGGAGAAGAGACCAACCCCCCCTCGCTACACCCTCCTTTCAGGGAGCTGTAGAGAGCAAGAAGGTCTCCCCTCACACTCCTCTTCTCCAGGCTGAACAGTCCCAGCTCCCTCGGCTGCTCCTCATAAAACTTGTTCTCCAGACCCCTCACCAGCTTCGTTGCCCTTCTCTGGACACGCTCCAGCACCTCAGTGTCCTTCTTGTAGTGAGGGGCCCCAAACTGAACACAGTACTCGAGGTGGGACCTCACCAGTGCTGAGTATGGGGGGACGATCACTGCCCTTGTCCTGCTCACCACACTATTCCTGACACAGAGCGGGATGTTACTGGCCACCTTGGCCACCTGGGCACACTGCTGGCTCTTATTCTGTTGCTGTCGACCAGCACCCCCAGGTCCTTTTCTGCTGGGCAGCTTTCCAGCCACTCTTCTCCAAGGCTGTAGCATGTCCCCAATGGTTTCTGACACACGCTCGTCACGCTGTCACTGAGATGGGCTAGTCCAGACTGAGGGCATCCCTACCCTTCAGACGTGCAGTGCACCCACAGCAAGCGTAGCCACTTTCTTGAGGGGTAGCTGCTGCCCTGCCCTTCGTGTGCACTTTGAGGTGTGCAGTGCTGCTGCTGACATCCAACTGTCCGGTTGAAATCAATGAGGGAAGTTGACTTAAATACAACTCAGTCTGCTTCATCGACGTCTGAATGGCAGGGAGCTTCTCTGCCTTTCCCTGTGTTTGAATGTAAGGCAACACTATCTATTAACTGGTGTGCATCAGCCCATCAGTCTGAGATCAGGGACCACGAGCTGAAGGAGGGTATCTGGCCATGACCTGACCTCGGTTCTGGAACATGGGTATAAGAAATGGTCATTTCCTACATAGGAAAGACAGTTTTGGAATAACCAAGAAGCATCAGCTGGCTGCCCTGAGCTGTGTAACTAGAAATAAGGGACCAAAACTGAATGAAGGAGTATGCAGTTGGAGCATCAGCAAAATTTTCCTATTCCCATGATCTGTCAGGCTGTAGAAATCCCCCAAGGAGTGTTCCCTGCCATGGGAATCAATTGAAATGGAAATGGCAATTACACGTTTGAGAGGAATCCTTCTCTGACAGAGAGACGAGCCAGGCAGCACAGCACTTTTTCCTCTCTGATTTAGGTGTCTCATGCCCTTTTTTTGCGTTGTTTTTTTCCCTCCCTCAAACTATACACAGCATAGTTGACGTCTTCAGCTTGCTAGGAAGTTTTGAAGAAGGCTTTTCCCCTTCTTGTCAAAGTCTGGCTGGTACGAAGTCTCGATTCAGCCTAGATAACACCAGTTAGTGTGCTCCTGGCAGTTGTGTCAGTGTTTGGAGATGCTCCGCGTGTGAAAGCAGGATCTGGTGGCTGCTGGTGCCCACCCTGCCAAAGCTCACACTCTGACTCCAGCCCAAGGAGGAGCTGAGCGGTGTGGTGAAAGCTCTTGTTCAGTCTAAATGTGCTGAAGAGGGGCTTTGGGGGGAAAAAAATAGAAAACAAGAAGAGAGGCCATTTATAAACAGTGCAATTTAGTTGGCGAGTTGCTTTGTTTTCCTTTGGCTGTTGTGTTGGATATTTGTGGTTGGATAAGTCCTTCTGCTGAGTCTCGCAGTGAAGTTGGAGCCCTATGTTTAACATCGCAAATTCTTGCCACAGGGCAAAATACTTACAGGGAGAAATCTGTTATCTAAAGTCACATCTTTGTTAGTCATCAGCTTTTTCATGCCGCATTTGATAATCTAGTGAGAAAGAAACAGTTTGTGTCGTAAACGATAGGTTTGGTGGTTTTTTTCCAGAACATGAAAGACACTATGGAAAATAGCTGTCTTCCAGTAAATATTGTCGATGAATAAAAAAGAACAAATTCATTGGCAAATTTTCTGTAGATTTTTCTTTTGTTTTCCATGTCGTTCTTCAAACCTTATGTTGTTTCCATTGGAAGCTACAACTGGGGCCATCATATACAGTAAATTACAAGTGCTGGCTGCAAGCGGGAATGTGCATCTTTTGGATTTTGCTTTTTAGCCAGAAAAGAAAGAGAGCAGCTGCTCTTAGTAATTTCTTGTTTTCTGTCTCTGCTTTTGCCTTGCTCCATGCCGGTGCATGTACCATGCAGTGAAAGGTCCTGTGTGGGTTCTGAAGGATGCCACTTCTTCACCCTGCCAACCCTCTGAGCTCCTTGGAAACTACTTCTAATGTAAACATTATAAAGATATTGCTCGGTACTGCTAATTTATCACTTCTACCAGATGGGTAGTAAGTAGCCTATTAACATTCACAAAGTGAGTGTCCAATTCCTTCACATTTCTAAACACATCGCCCTGGGATTCCTAAGATTTATGTTGTGGAGTTTTCCCATGTTCCGAGCCCTTGCGGAGGTGTGCGGTGCTGGACGTGCTGTGGCAGCAGGTAGTCAACAGAAAATACCCCACTCAGGTAGGTTTGGCGGAAGGAGCGTAGATTTGCAGGATGGCAATCCAACAGAGTTTGAATGCTGATACTTCTTTCTTTTTAATCTTGTGTGTAAAATCCAAACTGTTTTGATACTCCCAAATATTCCTGTTACGGTGAGGAGCATTATGCCATCGTGGCTGAAGTGGGTACAAGGTCAAATATGAAAGTCTGTGGTACAAGAATGAGGAGGAGGGGTTTATCTGCCTGTTAGAAGATGAGTAGGTTTTTGAGCCTGGTTATCTACCTTCAGTATTGGCATTTTCCTAGTAACACCCCTTTCTCCAGCTCACTTCTTTTCTCCCCCTCCCCCAAATCCCAAGCCCCTTTGTCTGCCCCACAGAACAACTTCTCTGTCTTTATGGGATAATTAGTGTGGACAATTGCTGCTTTTCCCATTGGGTTTGAGGTGCAGTGAGCCATGAAGGAATCTGTAATGACATGAAAAGTCACTGGAGGCGCGGATGGTGGCTGAATAGCAACAGTTACCTCTCTGAATAGATTAAATTAAAAAAAATAAAGCTTTGTGTTCAGCTGGGGGAAGGGAGGATTCACTAATCTTTTTGTACATGACAATGTGGGTTTGTATCTCTGCAGCTCAAGGAAGAAATCAGGCGGGGCTTTGCGGGACTGGAGGACCCATTGGCAGGACTCCTGGACATGCTGGAGAGCAGCAGCGACTGGAAGGGGAAAGGGCATTCCCTCGGGTATTACATCACCACTGAGTTGCAGCTTTGGATAAAAGAGCATCCTGCTCTTCAACAGGTTAGAAAAAGAGAGAGCGAGAGAGCCGGCAGAAAGGAGAGGGCAACTGATTGTAATGTCCCTCAAGTGTCCCCAGTTTCACTTTCTTCCATAGTCCAGCGTCTTCCCTCTAGTCTGATACAAACACTTTGGGACGAGGTGTGAAACTCATACTGACATGTTATCTGTTGTATGCGGGCCTGAAAATGAAATTATAATAGAAGCTGTGATGCGAGAGCTCTGTTTCCCCTGCCAAGCTGGGATTTCCATCTTTCCAGATCAAACCACTTTGATCAAGCGTTGATCTTGCAGCCTTTGCTGGGCTGGAGGCTTTCCCACTGGAACTCACATCCCTGCTGTCAGGATAAAACCAATTGCAATAATCTACTCTGCATATTCTTCCAGTTCTGCAAATAAGCCCGTTACTGTACAATTGCTTAACTCCTGCCATGTGGTGGGGAGCTTTTATCATCGGGAATGCAGAAAATGGTAACGGTATGACTTTTCAGCAGCTGAATGATTAGCTTTGTAGCATTGGGTCATCAGATTATATGTCCTAATGTTTACCATTCCTTATGCCTCCATATATTCTGACCTATTGAGATTTTATCTTTTTTTTTGTATGCTTTTGGCTCTGAACTTTTAAAAATACTTTTATATTTGTGTTGTTTCGTTTCCCATTTTTCCAAATGGCTGTTTTTAGATGTTGAGCTCCAACGTTGCAGTATCTGCAAAGTGCAGTGAAGTACTACTGGCACTGAAATTCCTATGTCATAAGAGAACGATCTGTAGGAACACAAGGATTAATGCTTGTATCTGTTCATCTTTTGATGATGCTTCTGCTTTTCCTGTCTTTCTTGCACCCAGGAGCAAGCCTGGGAATGAAGATTGAATTCTTATGCCTGATAGGTGAGCTCTCCCTTGAGGGGAGTTGCTGGATTCAGAGATTTTCTGCTGGGATCCAGAGGGGAGAATTTCTAAATAGCTCTGTTAGTAAAAGAGGGCATTTTTCCAGTTTCATATTTTACTTTTGCACAAGGCCATATGCCTTTTCCTTATCCCGCAAACATTTAATGTTTTTAAATTGGATGTTGTGAAAAAAACGTGGATCATATTGTTCTGATTTCTGCTTGCAGACTCCATGGGGAAATTGGAGAATCCCTTCCCAAGGAATTGGCTTATTCCACTGTTTAAACAAGCTGCATGTTCAACTGCCATTGAATTGCAGCCATCTTTACTAAATCTGTGTTTGATTTTTTTTTGTTTTGTTTTCTTTTTTTTTAGTCTGGCATCAAGCTGAAGAAGCTGCAGGCCCGTGCACTCAGAATACTAGCGCAGTGCCCAGCTAATCTTCTTGACCCTCTGATTAGCATTTACCAGCTCCATACAGCAGACCGGAACTATTTGCTTGAACATGTCAGTCATCTTTATCACAGGGGCCATTACAAAGAGGTGGGTCATGTCTTTCAAATAAATTTACCTTCCCAGCGCTCTAGTTCTCTGTTAATGTCTGTGTCCTTTTTTGGATGCATTTCAATGTGAATTCCGTTTCATCACAGCAGCTGCACACTGTGAATGGTAGAGCTTAGCGTGGTCTTCCCATGTGCACGAGTAGGCTGTGTTCAACCTCAGTTTTTCTAATGGCTGAGTACAGAATGCCAGGGAATCCTTCCTCCACCCCTTTTTTGACCTTTGAAAGTAATAGGTTAATAGGGTTTAATTTGGAGGATTTAAGGGGATAGTTGTGTTCTTTTTTGTTTTCCTTGTCCTTGGCAAGAAAAGAAGGGATTTTAGTAGTTGGTCGTAGACCTGCTGTGCTATCTCAAATCTGTCTGCAGCAAGGAGGAGTTGGAAAATCTCTGTTCCCACGTGATTACCCAAACCAAAGGGTTCTCAGTTTGAGGAGTTTCGAAGCCTCTTTATCATTGAGACTCATATTCAAAATATATTACTACTCAGGTATTTGAGTGTGAGTGGTTGACACGAGCCACCATGAGCCAGTTCACCAAACCCAGAATTTGGTGTGTTTTACCCTGTAGTTTAGAGTACTTGCAGCATCTCTGGCATCACCGTGATGTCTTGGTAGTCTTGCGAGTGGTCTTGTGAACAAACTACAATACTCTTAATGCCTTTTTTTTTTCTTTTAAGGCAAAAACCATAGGTTTGTTTTTCTCAAAGGAATATGGTTCACACTGATGGTGTAGAACAGCTTGATCTTGTTTAGAAAAGAAAAAAATCAAATAGCATTTTAACTTCAGTAAAGCCAAATTCCCAAGTGAGATCATGGAATTCCATTCTTGTTGATTTCTTTGTATACTGAAAGAAGGATATTTCATATTTGATTAGAAGTTCACAGGTGGCTGTTTGAACCATACTCTTTTGCTCAATAAGGCTTTGAATGTGAGCGTTTGGAAATCCTAACAGAAACATAGTATTTGACTATATTCATGTGTGATTTTTAAGTTCATGACTCCCAAGATATTTATTGCTGTCATTACAGATGCAGTTCTTTCTAGATCTGGTTTTGGAAAGCTCTACTTTTTTTTTTCTTTTTGGTGGAATTGTTTTTCTGTTCTTTCTTCCACGGAAAAGCTCATTTACTATCCATTCCCCATGTAAAGAACAGGAAACCTCAACTGTTGCTTACCCTCAGCCGTAACTTTCTTCTAGTTTTGTTTTGTTGCCAGAAGGATGAGCAGAATTATCTTCAAGAATAACAGGAAATCTTTTACTGCCCTTGGGGACTGATTATACCTACGTTCACAGCAACGAACCCCAGAAAACCTGGAGCTCGGCTCTGAGCACTTGCAGTGGGCTGTGGTGGGTCTGTTGTCCTGCTCTTCCCCGTCTTTCCAATGGGGCGGTAACGCACATTCACATGTAGGCTTTGTGGTTCTTCTGTTTCTTGCCTGAAAGGACAGAAATCCTTATCAGTCCTTGCTGTCATTATTTATTTTCTTGCTGTATTTACAATCAGACACCAGGCGTCTAGAGCATTCTCTACTGTGCTGTGTGAACCATGGAGGTCCCCAGCTCTGCCCCGTGGGCTCCTTTCCCTCGCAGAGGTTTTGGAGAAAAATCTCTTCAGAAAACGAGATCCCAGAGGTCCCATGGCGATTACTTGTTTCTGAAGCATCCGGCCCTCCCTGTAGGCCCTGGTTCAGTAGAGCCGGTCAAAACTGAACCGGTTTGTGGATGCCTGCAGCTGGGAGGTTTGGGGGTGCCGGTGCCATGGGGGCGGCAGGGAAACCATCAGCTGTAGGGGGGCTGGTGGAAGATGGCGCAGGTGGAGATAACTTTATTCTGATTTTCAGCATAAAATAGTAGCTGTGGTGAGGAAGCACCTGATGGGGAGCACTGGCCAGCGGATGGCACTAGTGCTCCCATGATGCAGAAAAACAGGCTGATCCAGTGAGTTAAAGGAAAAAACAGGGCCATATATGCGGGTTTGTGAGGCGCCTGTCCTGTTTGGGGTTTGCATCCGTTCTTTTGCGAATGGAGGTTGCAGCTGCTGGAGCAGCGTGCCAGCCGGGGCCCTGCAGGGCGCTCGGCGCGGTGCGAGGGACACCAGGGTTGGCCCCTCACAGCCCACCCGGTGTGAAGGGACAGAACGAGGGTTCCGTTCCACCTTCCTGCTCGGGGAGCAGCAGGTGAAATGTTGCGGCCCTGTCGCCATTCCAGAAGCCCTCCGGAGCCCCGGGCTGCGTCTCTGTGCCGTCCTCGGTCCGGGCTGTGGTGGCTGGTGCTGCAGCCCCGTTGGTGGGTCGGTCGGCGCTGTGGGGAGGGCGATGGGTGCTGGTGGGGCCGGGACAATGCCAGGATTCAGCAGACCGGGGGTAATGCAGCGCGAGCGAGTCTGGGAGAGGCCCTGAATAGGCGAGGCTGTGCTCGAGAAGAATGAGGGGTAGGCAGAAGGCAAGCTAGTGTTTCATGGTCATCTTATGTTACACTTCAGCCTTTCAAAGAGTGTCTGGGGCTGGTTGAATGAACCTCTCTTGCACTGCGAATGCGGGAGCCCGAAGACAAAGGGGACTCTTGTCACTCGCAGGCCCCTTTCGGGAATAAAAGCCATTGTCACATGAACAGGGGCAGTCTGGCAGGCTGTGCATGCTTCAGTGCCCCATGATATCGCTAAGTCTCAGCAGAAATCACATTCAGGGCCCTGTCAGCTTTGATTAGCGGGGTCTCATGACTTAATGTGCTGCGATATTTCATGTCTAAGGGTGGCGGCTGTCTTTCTGTGGGATGAATGCCCTCTATTGTCCACTGAGTTATTTTATTTACATTTTTTTAAACAGCTTATAAAGGTAAAAAGATAGCTGTGCTTAAAGAAAAAAATCAAATTCCTTTGCTTCTGGATCAGTAGTGAGCACTGCTCGGGTCAGATACAGTGAAACTTGTTTTCACAGTCAGCATCAAAGTTCTCGTCTTGTTTAACAGCTTTATAGTAAATTCTGAACAGGTGGCAGTGGAGCTGGGTTTAGGAAGGAAACAATAAATAATCTTTTTAGCCTCTGACAACCAGAAATATTCTTGGGCCTGAGAGAGCTCCGACTCCAACTTCTCCGTATCGGTGACTAGCAGCATTTTTCTCCCCTTCATCACTTTGGTATTAAACAAGAATATTAGACTAAGCTATTAGTGGGACAGGGAGTATTTAATTTTTAACAGCTTTTTTGGTTGTTGTCCATCCAGATTTCTCTGTTAATTTCTACAAATAACTGAAGGTTGATTCTATACATTAAATTCAGTTAATGTTTGGTCTTTTAATTAAGATAATGTGGATTATCTGTTAAAATTCAGTTCTTAAATGTTGTCATAAAACAAGTTGGAGTACCCAGAGAAAAAGCTCTGTAGACACAGAATTCAAAATTTTTCTCAGCAATGCATACTACTACAGAATTGATTTGATAATTTGGTAGAAAGGACAGTTGGCCAGAGTTAAAAGGAATACAAATACACTAAGGTGTAGAAATGCATAGTTCAATCACCAATATGACCTTCAATTTTTGGTGTAATCATGTTTTGAGCACCAGTTCAGGGATGTTATTGTTCGTAGTCCTACTTCATACGCGGTGCTTGAGCACAAATGGTGTATTTTTGCAAATCTCTCAATACAAATCAGTGTTAATGGCTATTCAGATTTTTCATTTCTTCAGTCTGACTTTTTTGAGCTGTTCTCAGGACAGTGAAAATGTCTCTGATATTGCTTCTTTCCCCCATTCAACATCTTAATTACAAAGGCTTGTTCAGCTCTTACTGTATTTTAAAGTGTGTGCATTTGAATTTCCTTGTTTCTTTTAAATTAAAAATAATAACTGATAAGACAAACAAGGAAAATGTTACAGGGGATGTTTCTCATGTAAAGATGATGATGTCGGTCTCAACCCTTTTTTCTTATTAATACTGCTAAAGGACAGCTTTAATGGCATGTTGCCTGCTAGATTCATGCCACTCCAGCACAGAGGTAGCCAACCTGCGGGCCGTGGACCACTCCACCGTCTGCTCCCAATCACCATGTCTTCTGGAGCCACCCCTGCTATGGATGTCTGTCTGGTGAAGTGGTTGGGAAGGTGTCGCTGGGAAATAATAATTCAGATGGTGGTATTCTGCTCCTGCTGCCAGCATTTCTGGGCTGTCGCGAAACAAGCAGGCTCTTGGAGAAGAGGTGTGAATGTGCAGCTGATCTAGCCATGCAGAGATCTGGGTCTGGAGGATCTGGAGAAGGTGGGTGCTCTGCGTGCGCAGGAAACTTGGGCAGTGCTCTAGAGGATCACTCATTTATGAGGATGCACTGAGCAGTTAAACCAAGTTTAAAACTGCTTTGAGTGACCTGAGGAGGACAAATCACAGAAGTGTTTGTTTCAGTTCCCTCTTCTCTTCACCTGTCACATGTGTATTCCAATCTGGACTTTTACTTCACTCCCTCAACCTCAAATTCTTTAGATATGAGTAATCCGTCACTACTTCATTTTGGTGGTCTCATGCTGTCTTGAAAGCGAACCTGGGAAATCTCATGTTTTTCTCGTTTCTGAAGATCTTCCTGAAGACAGCTGTGTATATTGTACACTCTTTAAGCAGGAAGTCATTAAACATCTACCCTGATGTCATACATGATGCAGTGATGCACTCTGAGAGGTTGAGCAAAGCTGATTAGCCACAAGTTTGAAATGAGTGATTCCAAAACACAAAACAGATGTTCCCAATGATTAATACGTTGTGTGCCTTTTACTCAATTATTTCTACCATTATTATGTATCCAGGCTTTGATCACTGTGATTTTCTTGGAGTTGACGTTGGATCCTCCTCTGTGAAGTCTCTTCCTGTTGTTTGGTCTGTTCTATGGGCTTTCAGAAATTCCTTCACCATTGGTTCAGAAATACTACACCAAGTCAGGCACAGGCATATTTACCTTTGTGTTGTCCCAACTTGCTTGCAGCAGAGCTAAGTAATGCAGGAGTCATCAGAAACCATTTGTGTCTGTCCTGCCTCATCACTCCAAGCAGTGCTACCAGCAAAAGGTTATTCCTCTGATGCTAACCCCACCGTGGGAAAATTGCCTAAATTGTCAGTGTAGACACCACCCAAGTGCACATGCCCTTGCAGATAAGATCTTGTGTGGCTTCCTGCACTTCGTACTGTATATGGAAAGAATAGTCATTTTTAGATGAGGCAGAGCCAACTGCATTCAAAACAAGTAGAGAGGATCAGGTATTGGTGCAGGGTGCTCTGGGCTTGTGTGTTCACTTCAAAACAGTTACCATTTTCCCATACTCTTGTTTTTGCAATCACATGACTAGGAGGGTGGTCTGGTGCTCGTGGCTTGGCCTGAATGCATCAAGTTTGGGTAAATTCCCCCAACCCTATAGTCAACGCACCTACAAGTGTCTTAGATATAATTTAATGTAGTGTTGCCCAGCTTTGAATTCTTTACCATCCTCATCCAGCGCTCCTTTTGCTATATTTTTAAGGGTTTATCCTTGGGAAACAAAACTATTATGAACTATCCGAATATGATTTTCACTTTCACCATAATTAAGTCAAGGAATGACCCAAAGCTCCCTGTCGACAATCAGAAGACTAACGAACTTTCATGGGATTTAAGTCAGGCAAGGGATCACCTTTTCTCATGTACTAAACAGCGGCTTTACCATGTGCCTGTCCCTGACAGGGACCAACCTCTCCCATATTTCTGTTAGGATCTGGGGCAGGAGGGCTTTAGTATAGGTTAAACACTTTTATGTGTAGCTATAATGCTAATTCTTTGCTGTTGTTAGATTACGTGCTGGGAACTCTATGCATGAAATGTATATTTGTGAAAAGGCTACTTTTACTAGCGTTGGGACTATAGCATGTTCTCTTTGTAGTTTGAGGGAGGGTGGGTAGACCCTGATAGCGTTCCCTGGAACTTTTCCATATTCCTGCGTAATAATGAGGGGTTTTTCATTCATTGATCAGCTGCTGACATGGGGGAGGTATCTGCTGCTTAGGATTTTTGTTGCCGTGCTGATCCAACCTGAGTCAGAGGATCTGCAGTTGGATTAATATAATTGCTAGCTTCCAGCTACGCCAGCTAGTCTTCCAGCACAGCGGGGAGGGTGCAGCGCTGCATATGGGGAAATGCCTGTTTCTTGGGTGGGGAGGGGGATTCTCACCATTTCAGTTACAGCATGCTGTCTGCCTAATTAAAATGTTTGTTTTCTAACTACAAAATGAGTCTGAGAGTGAGGTGTTGCTTTTCTGGAGATCTTATCATCTATAAACAGACTGTTAAAAATAGGGTCGTTTTACACAAAACTTGTTTGTGGGGTGAAACAATTCAAAACATGATAATAACAAAACAAAATCCTAAAATAGCTCTAAGTTGAGACCACAGACACAGCTGCCAAGCACTTTCATCTTTATTACAGTTACTCATATCTCTTCTCTTATTATTCCTATTGTAAACACGCTGATTTTATCTAAGTTGTCCTCACTATTCAGCCAGCCAGCCCACGGAACTACACCCGTCGATCCCGCCTGCTTGTTTGTTCCTAGGACCCAGGTCATGCGTCTCCTGCCACGTTTAGCTTTGTGCCTGGACGAGGCTCCTGCCCCGCTGCTGATGCCGTTCCCCACTGTGGGAAGTTTCAGCCAGCAGTGCAATTCGTCTGACTGCTCCATCGCCTACTTAAGCCAGGTGATGTTAAAATTATTTTAAAAACCAGCTTGTGTGATTTCATAGAATCATAGAATGGTTTGGGTTGGAAGGGACCTTAAAGATCATCCAGTTGTAACCCCCTGCACTGGGCAGGGCCACCTCCCACCAGCCCAGGTTGCTCCGAGCCCCGTCCAACCTGGCCTTGAACACCTCCAGGGATGAGGCAGCCACAGCTTCTCTGGGCAACCTGCGCCAGGGGCTCACCCCCCTCACAGGGAAACATTTCTTCCTGATATCTCATCTAAATCTCCCCTCTTCCAGTTTGAAGCCATTACCCCTCGACCTATCACTACATGCCCTTGGAAAAAGTCCCTCTCCAGCCTTCTCGTAGGCCCCCTTTAGGGACTGGAAGGCTGCTATAAGGTCTCCCCAGAGCCTTCTCCTCTCCAGGCTGAACACCTCCAACTCTCTCAGTCCGATTTGCTTGTTCATGAGCGTTGATGGCAGGATGGCGTTCCTCTGACCCGCAGCAGAGGTGCTGGTGGGAGCTGCATCTGCCGCAGCTGGGGTTGGAAGGTGATGTCTGTCCACACTTTGGCTAAATGAATATTCGTTGCTCTACACTCTTTATTACAGAGTAGAATATATATCCAGTAAAAGAGGAAGACCTAACCTGACACGGCACATGTTCATCTGATTAAGTCACCTGTACGGTTGATGGAGATAAAACTATGCCATTTAGATAACAGTTCTGCAATTAGGTTAATGTGAACATGCATGTGAACATTAAAAAGCTATTATGGGAAACCATTGTATGCTTGCATGTTAAAACTAACGGATTACTTGTTTAATAAAAAGATACTAATGAGATCAAATGGTGAAACAAGATTTTGAGAGTTGCAAGTTCAAGGTTTTTGGAGTTTTTTGTTTGGCAAATTGAGATAGCTTGGAGGAAAATAAAACCAGCTGCCAAAGCTTTGGAGACCCAAACCCCTTCTTCAGGTCCAAAACAGAAGTGGCAACCTTCAACTTGTATGCAAGTCACTAATAATCACTCAGTTTGAACTTTTGTGATGGTAAGCTGATAATGCGAGAGCAGAGGGGCTTGGGGCTTGGGGAGCAGAGCAGTGTATTCGCCTCCAACCAGGGGACATAGTTAGAAAGTCTGGAGCGGGAGGTTTGGCTGAAGAGGTAGCTGGGCTGAGAAATGGTAATGTGCCTTTCCACTCCATATCTGGTTTGTAGCATACAGTCACTGCATTGATGGCAGTTCCTGCTTTTGTCACTTCAAGCTCTTCATTTCTCTGTTTGGGATGAAGCCTGGGCTGTCAGTGACACAGTGTTTGTTTTGTGGTAAAACAAACAAACAAAACTGCCAACACTCCCCCCAATAAAACCCCAGCACCCCCTCCCCCCTCAAATAAACCCAAAACAAACAGGAAGAAAACAATGTTTTCCCACTGATATCTGGGTATCTCTGGACAGTAAAATTGAACAATTGAACTTATATGGTGTGTGTTGGTTGTCTGCTTTTGTACAGTCAGTTTTTGATACAGTGGATGAAATACGTGTATGAATTTCCCTGAAAACAAAGTCATCCATGGCTTCTGCTGGCAGCAGTGTGCGGATGAGCTGTGAGGTTTTGTCTGTGTTGCACGGCTGGGTCAGCAGAACGTGTGCTTCCAGCCAGGAGTTGCATTGAGGTGTCATTTGAATGCTGAGAGACATCACAGAAAATGGGTCTCAAGCTGTGCTCCTACCCCCACTTAGGTTATTTTTCTGGTTAAATTTTTCTATAAAGGTTTCATGCAGGTGAAGTGTAATGACAAGGTTTATCTTTGCTTGGGGGGAATGGACAATTTTTACTGTATTATATATTATAATATATATGTATTTCATGTATATATCATATGTATATGTGACAAACAAGTCCATCATTTTCATGGTCTTTCTTTCAAAGCAAAATCAACCGCAGATAAGAGAGAAACCTGCTGAAGAGAAGAGCTTTTTCTTTAAGCCCTAACATACTGTTTGCATCCTCATCTAAATAAGTAGGCGTTTGTGAACTCAGCTGGTGACATCCTCTGTCCTGTTGTAGCTTAGTGTGCCGCTTAGTGTGCCGTGCACGCTGCAGTAGGGTCAGAGATGTCGTGTTATCAAACACTGTTTACAACCATTTTGGAAAATATAGCCTAACTTTGTAAAGTAATTAAGAGGACACTTCATGTAAAACACCCTCGTTACCTGGTTCACAATTACATCAGTACTAACACATAAATGTGCTAGAAGGCTCCTTCCTCTTATTACTCTATTTACTGGAACAATACACTATATTAAAGAAAACCATTATCTGCTTATTCTGTATTTGAGATCCAAGTATTCTCACACACTACAGAAATTAGACACTATTAACTGCTTAAAATCCTAATTAGTTTGTATGCCTCCAAAGCAATGCACAGTTAGATCTTAATACCCGTCTGAAATCATCAGGCTGGGACAGGATAGACAGTGGCTGAACCAGTTCTCGCAGCCTGAGTTACTGCAGTTCACCACAGCAGAGTTTCCTCATCTGCAGAAGATACTGTTTTGGAGTTAATTTGTGAATGTGGCAGGTCTTGGCTTATAAGAGATGTGTAGATACTGCAAAAGGGAAGAATACAGTTCTTACTGTCTCTCTGACTGGTGAGCCTTGGCACTTCCAGGGGTGTGGAGCTACATAGAAATCATAAAAACGAAGACCTCTTGATTTCAGAGTCTTTTAAATCTGGACTTGCTTTCGCAAAATGCAACTATTTTACAAAATTTAAAAGGCACAGCAAGATGGATAAAGTTAACTCCAAATGGTGTGGTGGGTCAGGTGATTTTTACAATTATATTGCTAGCAAATATCCAGCTTAGCTGATTTTGTCCAAGCACTTAACTTTCTCTCTCTCTTTCTGCCAGACAACTTGATCTTTAATTTTGGCTCCAGGGTGTGCTGCTGCTCAGAATACGCAACTGCCAGGAGTGTTCTGTACATTTCTAAGTGGAATGTATGGGGCCAAATGTTTATATGATTTGTACTTGAAAATTTAACAGAAATAATTAACACATTAAAAATTTGTATAATAGCATATATACTTTGCTTTGGAGTAACGCCCATTTATCCACTGTGTTGTTCTCCTAAATACACAACTTTTCTTTGTATTTTCTAGGCGGCCATGCTGAGTATTAAGCTAAAATTACAGCCAGATCAAGATGTGGAGAAGGTGAGTCATTTCCTCTGCAGGCTTCTCTGTCATCAGATCCACCTTTTGTTTAGCAGGAGATCTATCAAGGCCCTCCAAGTCGTGCTGCCTTTCACTTGAGGCTTTACTTTGTTCCCAAGAAGTAATTGCTGCATTGCTGATGTGCCTTTACATCTCAGAAGGTGACAGAGTCAATCTTGTTAGACCTCATTACAGTTCCCTGGACTGCTTTTCTAGCCACAGAGAGTGTTACAAAAAATTCTAGCTGTGTTCTTGACAAGTAGTTGTCACTCTGATGGAGTTTAGTGCTTTTGCTATTTTGAAGCTTTGCTAATATTTGCATTGAAAACGTCACGTCACTCTTTCAGGCAGCGCTGGCTGGTTAAGCAGGGGGTTGGTGACTCGCTCGCCGTGGCTGAGCAGCTGGAAGCCCTCTGCCAGGTTTCAGTCTGCAATGTCACAGGCCTCTTCCGTGCCCACTGGGTTATCAACGACTGGCACAGGCTGCCCAGGAAAGTGGTTGAATTGCCATCCCTGGATGTATTTAAAAGCCATCTTGCTACGGTGCTCAGGGACATGGTTTAGAAGTGGGCCTGGTAGAGGTTGGACTTGATGGTTTTAAAGGTCTTTTCCAGCCATAACGATTCTATGATTCTCTGTGTGCTGCAGCGCCCAGTCTGCGGAATGTGGTGATCAAAGGCAGGGCACAGTGCTTTACGTGTAATTTCTTCTCATAGATGTGTACGCCACTACTGCTCCAAGACAAAAGTAACTTGGTGGAAGATTATGTGGGAGAATATCCTGAGCTCCAGAGCAAGCTCTTGCAGATCCTGGACACATGGTGTGAACCTGGTTTTAATATCAACAACATCACAAGGTAGAAACACTTGTTGACTTTCTCAATAGCTGGGGCCAACTTGCTGTCAGAGGACAGTATGTTCTCTGGTTGTCTATCTAAGATAATTTCTCGGCATAATGGAGTGCAGTATATTTACTTTTCAGCTGAGAAAGGGGAAAGTCTGGTGTCTGTGCCAGAGTCTTCTCAAACACCTCAGCCCGTGAGACAGAGGTATCGTTCCTATTGACAGATGCTCAGTTCCTGCCAGGAGAGAGGAGTGCAAAATGAAACCTGTGCAGTCGATCTTAGCAATATAACAATATCAAAGCTTCCTCCAGGAGGTTGTAGCAATCAGACTCTCGTGCTTTGCTGCAAACAGGAGTGAGTTTCAGTATCGGTTGTACAGGTTTTGCAGGGAGATAATACTGTGATGAAGTGGCAGAAAAACAAGAGATGCAAGTGGTTAACCTTCATGTGCTCATGAAAGAGTCGTGTGTGTTTTAATTTATAAATTCCCTCTCACTAGAATAGCTCCTGTCACTCACAAAGCCAACTGTACCATCAAACTCACAGTGTGGATGCAATAGTTGCAGTCTTGGTTCTGAAAGCAGACAAGAGGGAATTGCTGGCTTTCTCTTTCTTTAAAATAATCCCCTGGACTTGCTTCAGTCATTGACAGGGAAATCAGTGTGGTTGTATCGTTGGCTTTTTGCTGTAACTCGGGAAAGGTAGGGGACTGTTCTTACCAGCACCGAGCAAACCCTAATACCTCCACTGTTAAATATCTACTGTTTGGGAAACATGCTTTAGGTGATTCCACAGATGTTCTTTCTGATTTTGTTTATTTGCTTGCAGACAATATCAAGGCCTGTCCAGGTACAAACCAGATAAATTTAACCGCAAAATGCTAAGCAAGCTGGTCTTCAGGCTCCTAGACCGATTTAACGTAGATCCAGGTATGTGATATTGCACCATATTGTGGAGTTATCTCACCAATAAAAAACAGATGAAGTCAATTTGTCTTGTTCCATGTTCAGCAAGGAATCTCTGCTGCAATTTATCATGGGAAGTTTCAGGGTTTAATTAATGGTATTGAAAAACAAAGCTGGTAAGTTATGGGAATTAGCACTTTGTGCTGTCAAAGAATGAAGTGCTTGTGACTAATAGACTGCTGCTTCCATGATATGAAATAAATCTTGACCTTAGAATGGCTCTGCGTAAACACGTGATGGTCAGCTTTGAGTTATGACTCCATTCCACTCACATAAGAGGCAAGTCATTATTCATCTGGGGGTCTGTTTTCTAAACTTATGGGTCCATCAGCTGGGAAGAGATAACCCTTGGGCACAGCCCTTTGTATTTTCTGCATAAACTAGGGTTGGTTGTAGGGAATTTTAAGACTCTTGCAGCCTTCCAAGAGAAGTAACACATTTTTCATCACTGTTTTTCATCACTGGCTTCACCGCCAGTTGTCTAACAAAATCTGATTTGTTTTGCTTTGGTTGCTAGCAGGGACTGTTGGTCTTTTTTCCTTCTCTTTGGGACCTTGCGTCAGACACCTTTAGGTGCACCGTTAGGTTTTACCCTACAAAGCTTTCCATCATCAGCCCAAGATATGCAATTCTCTTTTCTTGGACTGAAAAGTGTTTTCTAACCACAAATTGTGGGCTTATTACACCTGGCAGCAACGCTATGTTGCTTATTAATCTTCACATCTTCAGACGGCTGTTCAAAAGTTAATAAGATAATCCTTACGAACCCTCATTGGAGGATAAGTAAATATAATTAAACTTAGCACATTGGTGTGAAAGCTGAGACATATTGGGGGAGATTTATTTAAAATATAAAACCTCCCCAGGAGTTTATACTAGTCTTCAGTAATTTTTCCTCCTTTATAAGGTTGGTCTTTCAGTAGGCTGTGTTGTCTTTTATGGTCTATAAAGAGTTGTTCCCCTTTCCTTATGAAAGATCCACCAAGGGTATAATATTAACTATAGATGTGAAATGATATAACTGTTCACGTGCAAAATCCTGAGAAATTAAAAAAAAAATAATCTTGGAGAGGAGCATGTAGCTGTTGATCTCAGGTGCTCTCTGTGGGATGGGAGTGTGCCTCAGCCTGGTGATGGTGTCCCAGATGCTGTAGCGGCCAATAATAATCGCCAAATCTTGCTGGTCCTCCACAACACATGGTGAGGAGGCTCCTTGAGGTAGATGCAGATTGCGTTCCTGCCTACACTTCCAGAGAGTGATTTATCCCATGCAAACTGCGGTGTCTACAGTGCAGGATAAGTCACTTGCTAGAGAGGGCCATCCACCTCTTCCTTATGTGAGAAGGGATGTGGGCTGCTGATTTAGACAAGATGCCAGATTTGGTGCAGCTAAAACCAATGTTGGGTGACTCTCATCCTCTCTTACATGAAAGTATGTGTTTATTTATTATATAATATTGCATGTAATTCAGAGCAGGACTTCACACTTTGCTAAGCTGTGGTCTTAATCTCCTTTGAGATGCGTTGAAGGGGATGAATGCCTACAGAGGAATTTCTGCCTTGGTGCTGGTCCTGCTTGAACTGAGTTGGGAAATGGTGGCCACTGGAATAACATGGCTTTCCTTTTCTTCCCACCTCTCTCCACTCCCTTCCTCTGATTTTCTGGATGTTCTTTCTCCATTCTTTAGTGGAAATAAATCTGACTGTGAGGAAAGAGCATTCAAAAAGGAAGCAGGGTAGGTAAAATGTACAGGTTAACCTTCCCCCCCCCATTTCTCTTGTTCTGGGCAGCTCCACCAAAAGCTGGCCGTGAGGTAGAACTCACACTTGTTACCGAACCTGATTGTGGGCTTGTTTGATGCCGCAGTCTTCTGCTGCTTTCTATCTCCTCTTCACTCATGACTCCTACTCGCTGAAAGAGGCTGAGAGGAGCAGCAGAAGAGGGAAGTGGCTTTCGGTGAGAAAGGTTGGAGGAGGACAGGGTTTCTTGGTATGAGAAGGCAAACGTGTGTGTGTGACTCAGTTCTTGCAGTTCCAAATCTACTTTCATATTTCACTACCTGAGCTCATTCCTATCCACTCACAGTACATTTCACTGACTGCTAAGCAAAACTTAGGTGTTGATCAGCCATTAAGATTTGAAACGCTCCTTGGAACTGCCAGTCTTAAATTGCAGAACCAGATAGGAGGTGGCACGATATAAAAAAGATCTGGAACCTCAGGGGAAAAAAAAAAAAGCAATCATCTTCGATTAGTCCACCTCTTCTTTTTCTGAACTGCATTCCGGTGTTGCTGTTAACACACAAAACAGTGCATGGTGAATGGAAGATTTTCTGCCGAGTCCCAAGGGTGTCCCAATAAACTGTGTGTGATTCCATTTAATTAGCTTTATTGGGGAAGGAAGAAGTTGGGCAGAAGTGGTATGTGATTGAGGAAATGGAGTTTTATAGAGTCTTTTCTCACACGTGGACTAGTATGCTCTGGTTTAACGAGCCCGTAGCTTTTGCAGGCTAATTACTTAATAGTCTTTGGAAACCCTGTGAGATTGACTTAGATTTGCAAATGCAAGTTTCAGTCAAAACAGTTCTCAGAGGTGAGGGAGCAGACCCTACCTGGGTTTGAAATGGTTAAGTCTGTTTTCGGTTGCGTTTTTGCACAGCCAGTATACCACAGAGAGGTCAGTGGTGTTTTTCATTGAAAATTCATTGAGTATGAGGTAGAAATGATACCACTCTGAAAAGTATAGCTGACCTCATATGTTGGGCCTCAGTGGCTGTATGACAATAAAGCAGATAATAGTAGTGTTGACGGAAAAAAGATGGTAATTGAATGCGCAATTTAAAGTTGTGGTTGTCCTGTAGCAGTGTAATAAATTAGCTGAGCACCTTTGGTTTTGAATGCTATGGACATGTTTTTATCATAGTCTTTAAAAGGTTTCTTTAGCATGAACTAAGAGAAATGTTCCTCTTCATTTGCCCACCAGGTTATCCTTTTAGTTTAACCTTTAATTTCAATTTGGCGTGATTGTTATTTATAAAGCCCCAGAACTGCTTTGTGAGATAAAGCGTTATCACTCCGTTAGTGTTGGGGCAGCAGAGGGCAGACGAGGGCTGCTCAGCGCTCTGCAGTGGCTCAGGTAGGTCACGCCTGTCCTCAAACTTCATCAGGTCTGCAGGAGCTGCGAGCACATGGCAGGACAATCACTAGGCAGAGCTCCAGCAGGGACTCGAGGGAGTCTACACTGGGCACTTCAAAAGATGCTGTGTCAGAGAGACGGGAATGACTGTTATAACTCTACAGGAACGCCTTTGGAAGGAGAAAATTTCAAATGTTTTTACCTTTCCTCATTAAAACAGAGCAGAAGGTTATTCCTTTCCTTTGCATTTGCTTTATAAGGGTTGTTTCCCCCTGCTTCCATGGAGATTTTCCTTCAGAGGTGTTTCAGCTCTCGTGTTAAACACTGGCACATCTCTACGTAGCGCTAAGACTGAGAAGAACCTCTAGGCGTAGACGTCAGAAGACAGGAGCCACCCATTCCTGAGGCTGCAGTGCCTGCAGAGTCGAGGTGCTGAAAGAGAAGGGGATCGAACATGCCAGGGTCCTTTCTGGGGCCATTTGCTTCTCAGCTACATTTTTGTCTACTGAAGTACAGGCAGTAGCGTATGATCTGCTCTGGACCCAGACAGAATGGCCAGCAGCTCCAAGTTTAGTTTTGGAAAAGCTGACACCACTCTTGCAGTTCTGAGCATGAATTCATCGTATGCAGACACGTGTCTAAAGACCACAGCAGAGCATTTTTTCCTTTACGCATAGATCGACACCCTTGTGCTATGCTCTCTCTTCTTCCCCCAGGCAGCTAGTGCTCCAGGCAGCAAAGCCAGAGGAAGCTCAGGGCTTTGGGGGTAATCTGGGGCTTCTGCTGTTTCACCTTCCTTTCTGAGGACCGCTGACCCTGACCTGTAGTGGCACGGAGCATTTTATGAGAGACACTAATGCATCTTGGAGGCTACAAAAGGTTTTCCTGAGTCCGGCCATACCTTCCGCTAGTTCGCACTTAGGGACTGATCTCACAATATGCAGAGAGACTGATGCACAGCTTGCTTCTCATCAAATTCCCTGGCAATCCTTACCAATACCAGGGTAAAAGCCTCTAGCGTTTCAGGTACCCTGATTTTATTAACAAAAGGCTCCTTTACTTTGTCCCCAAACAAAGTATGCTTTGTCTGAGACCTTCTGTTCTGCCAGGACAGGGTGAAGGAGTCTTATTGTGAATGGAAGGCAAGCTCTCAGGGCAGTGCAAAGAGGATTGGGTCCACATCCCAGCTCAGGAGTCATCGCGGATCACCTGGGAGTGGAAGCCATGCACCACACCTAAAAATATATTGCACCATGTCCCCAGTAGACCCATCTTAGCGATGTTACATGAGGGAAATGTGTGTGTTGTGGGTTTCATACCCTGCGTGACAAACAGATTTCATTTTTACTTCCTCCGTGTTGCTAATAGCCATTAACTCTGCTAACAGCTGAGAGCAGACTGGATTTTTTGCTTCTGAGTCAGTCCCAGATGTGGAATGTAGTTCAGATGAAGCACTGTTGTGGTGCAACTGCCAGGTTAAGAGTTAACCAATGCCCAACGAGGTGCTTTCATAGTATTATATCATTTGTATTCCATTAGTGCTCCACAACCCAGTCAGGATCCCAAAACCCCATTGTACAAACACTGAGTAGAAGGTCAGTACCTGTTTTGAAAAGCTTAGGACCTTATCTTTTGCTCTGACCAACCAAAACATTGGTTTTGTCTCAGGAGACCTGAGTTCAGGCTCTTGTTCGCTCAACCAGGTGTTTGACCTCAAGTAAGTTTCTCTGCGCTGAAGCACTTTGATTTCTGCAAATACAGGGTGTGGATCATCGTGAAACTGCAGGGAAAAGGCCGGGCAAAGGCTCTGCCGTGCCACCCGTGTCACCCTCCTGCCCCAAACCCAAAGGACCTCCTTCTGTCATTTCTGATATTTATGGAATGTGGATCCTATTCTTAAAGACCTCTAAGGTGGAAAGTTTACCATCTCCTATATAACATATGCCAGTTCTTCTCCAGCCTTACCATTAGATTTTTGGTAGTTTTTTTCCTCCAAAAGGCTGTATGGAATTTCTCTTGCCTTTATGGCTTTTGGTAGATGTATCTCATGTTTTTCTTTGAGCTTTCTGATTTTATGTGTCTGTGCTGTATGTGTCTGATCCAGTTTCCATGTTCTTTTAATTTACTGTCTTGTGTTTGAGATCAATAAAAGCTTCTGATTTATCAGTTAAGTCTCTTACTTCACTTGCAATTTTCCGTTGCCAGCTCTTCTTAACTCCTTTTCCAGTTATAAATTATTTTCACATGAAATCTTACCTGCCGCTCCTCTGAGTTTATTGAAGTCCATTTTGTTATTTTTATTTTGCTGTTCTTCCTTTCCTTAGAGCTTTGAACTCTTCATTTCATTGTCTGTCTTACAAAGTTACCTGTCATCCTCACATTTTTGATTAGTCCTTCTCTGTTTTTTTTTGTAATAAAATATAGACAACTGTATTCAAACTCAATTCCCTTGCTCCATCGGAATAGAAAATGTCACTACTGCCTTCAGAAATATTCCTGTCTGTCTGGATTCATCTGTCCTATTTTCCATACAGATAGCCGGGCATGTAAAATCCCCCAGTTCTGCCAAGTCCTGGGCTTTGGATATTTCCTCTAGAAGCTCAAATAAAAAAGTATTCCATGGATCATTTTGGTGACCTAGAGCAGTCATGCTGTGTTTCTTTCTGAAGTGATTTGAAATAACTTTAAGTTAAGTGTTGTCATATTTTTAATTTTTATGTTGATCTTACCTTCTTTAAAGAGCATCGCTTTCCATGAGCAGATGATCTTTTGTCCAGATACTGTGATAATATCCAGAGGAAAGATCACCGTATTTATTAGGATAACATCCTGCGGGATAATTGCAATAATTTCCACAGATCCTCTGAAGGCAAGGATATGTTGTCACACTGTGGAAGATTAACTTAAACATAACAGCTTTAACCATTTCTATTTGAGACAGAAGTGTTCAAGAGACTCTGAGAAGCTGCAGTAACCAGTGGTACATCAGTTCATATCCCTCGGATTCCAGGGTCTCGTATTAAGAGATTTTTGTTCGTTGTCTCAGTTTTCAGTCCTCGGCCATGCCGTGTGTGGGGCACGGAGGGTGCAACACTTCGAGGCCCTTTGAGTCGGTAACACTAGTTTCTCCCGATGTACGCTCATTCAAGGGAGGCTGCAGAGAATTTTCACTTTACTGTTTTCTGTTACCATTTCTGATTGCCGGTCCTGCGCTTTCCGACTACCAGTGAGATGGTTTTAGCCACTGAAACCCCAGTGCAGGCTTTGGTTATATCTTTCCCTGTACATGCATACCAGCAGCTAGCAAGAACTGACAAATACGTATGCTAATCCTAGTTAATGTATTTTATCTTCTGCTTTATCTCTCTTTGCACTGGATTTCAAAACAAGGTGCTATGTGAAGATCTTGGTTTTTGCAGTTGTAATGAGGCATATCTCATGAAGATGACAGTAATAAAAATAATAACAACAACTGTTGCTTGCTAGCTCAGCAAAACAATAGTCACCTCCCTCTTTGTATGGATATGGAATCTCTTTCATGGATATCTATTTTATCAGCTAAACTTTAGCCACAAGTTTACATCCTGAGTAACATGTTCAAAACTGCTTCAATGAATTAACAGCACAGGTTCCAATTAAATAAAAAAGAATGCAGCCTCTAGAGACTGGAGGTGGTGCCCGTATGAGGATGCTGCCTAATTAAAGGTATGAAGTCATTGACTGCGAAGCATATTGAACCAACAAGTGGATCTTATCATTCAAGGGTGGTAGAACCAGAGATATCAGAAACAAGGATTAGCATTGCTAATCATGGTTGAAAGTGTAAATAACAGTTTATAGCTTAGATAAGCTGACAATGTGTGTGTCTGTCCGTCATTGTTCCAAGTGTGATGGCATCCTGCCTTCCGCATACTGAATTTGAAATGGGGAAGGAAAAATTAAATGTCTAGACAGTAAAACTTCAAGGAAGCTCAGCTATATTGTATACTTAAATGTCTTTTTCCTCTTTTTAGCTCTCTGCCCTAATGTCATAAATCAACGGCACTTGAGAACTCTGAATTACCTCTTTTACAAGAGATTTGTTGAGGTACGTTTCTGTGTTGTGTGGCATGGGTGTGAATGAGGCTTTTTATTTACTTTGCAGTTTGAGTAACATAATTGGTATGATTGAAATGTATTGATAGTATATGAACAAGTTTGCATTGTGATTATTATTGTATAGGAATGCATTGGATCTGCTGTTGGATCTGTTTTTTCTGTGGGTGAATAGTTTGTGTGTCCATTCATATTCTAATGACTGAGTGCCATGACTGCTCAGAGCTGGATGCTGCTTCACCTCAGCATCCTCAGCAGTGTTCTGAGACACGTGTAGGTAGGTCAGGGTCTGCTCTCCATATGTTCAGTTTCTCTCATCCAGCTCAAATAAGCATGAGCATACTGGCTAAAGAGTTTTGTGGTACTTTTTGTTGGGGGAGGGGGGTTGTATGTTGGGTTTTTTTATAAAACAAGAGGTTTTAGGCATTCTGCATTGCTGGGTCCTTTGTAGGCACTTTGCTTTGGTACTTGTGGCCTGGCTGTGATAGGTATGGCCCAAACCTGCCGCAGAAGCTTTTTTGGGCTAACAGCCTTGCTGTGGCTGAGCAAAATGGTAGTACTTTCAGCTCCTGAACCACTCCTTGAACTAACTTTACTTCTGTCCAGCCTCCAAATTCGCTTTCCAAATACTCTGGTCCTTGTCCTGGCACTGAGGGCTTGTAGAAATAAGGAGATGCCATTAGTTCTTTCTAAGGAGCAGGTTTCTAGGAGGCAGCTTGGAGGTTGACTGTCTGCAGGATTACTCATCTATGGCTTCTTCTCCCCTCTCCTGAGTGTACTGCGCCAAGTCACTGCCCTTTGAATGCTCTTGAGCACACTGCATCGGGGAGCACATTTCTCTTCTTGTTAATAGGGCAGTTTTGGTGCTTCTCTTGATGATCTGGCATTCATCATTATCCTGTGCCTGGAGACAGGTTGTACCAGCTGAGAGTAAGTTTTTGTTCTGCTTCTTCTGGAAAAAAAACAGCCTGCACACGTACCCAGGTGTACCAATTGGTCTGTGAAGGACAAGGACCACAAGGGACTGAATACCATAGCAAAATGTTCCCATTTCTTGACTTTTGAATTATGAAGCTGTATTTGCCAAACCCGGAGTGGTGTTTCATCTTGCGGTTCATAGCAGACTCTCTGCTTGTAGATACAAGAGGCTGTTTCAACAGAGTTTTAGGAGAGCCCAGCAGGTTGTTCAGATGTTCCTACAGTACTATTGATCCAGTCTCCAGAGAGCCAGTTTTCAGGAAATGAGACACCTCCTCCAGAAGCGCCTGTTCTTTTGTTCAAAAGAAGGTTCGTTTGATGTTCTGACAGAAGGTGGCAGATGCATGCGTTTTTTCTGATTCCCCACCCCCCGATGCTTTGAATGCGAAGATGGAGTTGAGTCGTGGTGATCTGATGACACCATTCTGGCACAGCCGCTTCTGCTTCTGAGACCTCCTGATCCACCAGTGAAGACTCTGATCTGTCTTTGCTGCCTGCCAGATCCACTGACAGAAGACCTGGGGAGGATCGAGCATTTCAATGTCCTGCATCTCAAATCTTTAACGTTGGGTGACATCATTGGTCATCCGCAGTGAGAGAGTAGAAAGCATTTATCCAGGTGTATTTATTTAGCAGAATGGAATGGATTCTTGATCTGGTGTTCTGCTCTCGCTGGCCTTCCATTTCCTTTGTTTTGGAGTATTTGCTTGATTTAAAGTATCCAAGCTGTCCAGTTACTTCCATTAAGGTACATTTGGCAGCTGTTTCTGGACACAGTCCCTTCTTCTGAGAGCTCTTTGGTGTTCTCTGTTTACCATTCTCAGCTGTGTATGAGGTCTGGTTAAATGGCTCCTTTATCTCACTAGTATTTAAATTACACGCCACTATATCTCAAAGATGTTTTCTTTGACACTCTTACTCCCTGTTTGCTCTTGTACCTTTCCATAGAAGTGGCACTAATAATCATTGTTACCTCTGCCAGAAGTGGGGGTGAGACTCAGGCCTCGGTGGCGGGTCAGTCTCGTGCAGGCTGTGCTCTTGGCAGAGTGGGGAGCAGGTCCCATCCCGAGTTCCTCCCTAACGTTGGCTCTGAACGACATTGGAATGGGGGTATTAACTTATCAGTTTGCTTTCCCAGACCTTGTGATTCTAGAGGATTTTTCATGACTTGGCTGTTGAGAAAAGTTTGTGGTTTTATATTCTGAAGGCTCAGCCTTGCAGGTGACCCCTGAGATCACTTCCTTTACTGGAGCCTATGGGACGGCTCCCTGCTGGGCTAGCTGTTGAGGCGAACAGCCTATGGACATACTGCAAGTCCAAGGTAAAGGCAACAGCAATGATCCATGCGTTCCACCACATCATGGCGCATTTCAGCTTTGCTCAGCAATGTGTCAGTCGTTGCAAGAGCACCGTGTGAGCTTTGAGGCGTCCAGAAATGCTGCTGCACTTTGCAGAGTTGTTAAGGTGATTAGATTTCTGCAAATGAGTCCAGGACGCAGCTCCAGGTAATACCAAGACTTCGAGCTACTGCTGGGGAAGGGCCTGCCATTGCCTGTCTGCTTTGATTGCCTATGATTTTTTTTGTCTTATGTGCTGTAGTGTAACAGTTGTCTGAATTACTTCATCTAAGCTGTGTTTTTCTGCCATGCCCCGGCTGGTGACATATGAGAAGCAGAGGTTTCCCGTGTGCCCCAGAATGCATTCCTCAATCACAGTTGATGCCAGTGTGTAAGATGGTGTCTTAAATTTCAGTTTGCTATACGTAGAATTCTCCCTTTTCTAAGACAGCTCAGAAGTAATTTTGTCTTTTCAGAAAACCATGACTTGGGAGAACTGGACAGATCACGTTCAGGTGAGTATGGATTTCCCTCTCCCTTTTTCTGAGGGTTATTTGCTTGGTGATTATTTTAAGATGTTCAGAATATCCAGCTCTGGATATTGTAGTCCTACTATTACAATTTCACACTTTCTTATAACTTTGTAAGCATATAGCAAAACGGTACGTGCAGGGAAGAGCAAGGAAGAACATGTATATTTTACTCCCTGTTATGTCTTTTAAAATGCTCTGATTTGGCTGGAGCATTTAGATAAGAATATAAAATACATTCTTTTACTTTCATGCACTTATTTGTAAGTGAACATTGCAAATATTTGTGTTGATTAATTACAAGGAGGGGGGAAAAGAGAGTTCTCTTCAGGCAGCTAACAAGGTGTGTGGGTAAATCAGGACACGTTAGATTCCCTTTGCATGCTCCAGTCTGATCATTTTCAACAGGTTTATTTGGTGTCTGTTAGATATTGTGACTCTACGTCTTGTACTGAAGGACACGAGTCATTTTAATAGCATGAGAAGAAGGGTATCAGTATTTCTTTTTCTTGGTGTATAAACAGGACAGTTCAGGCAACCTCGTTTTGCCCTGATACTACAGTAAATACCTATGTGACAATGAGATATCAAGAAATTCCCTGGGGACAAACCATTAGTGATTATGTGTGTGTCCATGATATCCCTATGGAATCGCAACCTCATGGTGAGTGTCTGCTCCTTTTCTGTAGCTCCTCTCAGTTTGAATTCTGCAGCCGTTAAGGATTTCTGACCATCAGCTAGAGTCTTCCTTTAAAAATCCATTTGAGTGGTCACTGTGGGCCTCTGAGCAGTGCGATGACTAACGATCCTGTGTGTTTGAGATCTTTGGCGATGTCTGTACACACCAGCACAATGACTGAATTTTAAACATGAGCTGACCCATGTATCTCTTTCATGGGTCAGTAGGAAAAAGAACAATTTAGAAGACAGGAGGATGTGTTTTTTAAGATAGAGACCATTGATAAAATGCCCAGCAGCACTTCAAGGCAACTGTTCAACCTACTGAGTGTTTGCAGTGGTGAACGTTCAACTTCTGTGTGTAGTTTATCATACCCGTGTGAGAGGCCAGACTCTGCAAGGAAAGGAAGGGTCTTGCCTCTTGATCTCAGTGGTCTTATGCAGTGAAAGAGCTTTTCTGGGTTCCCTTTGATTCTCACAAAATAAGGGCCAGCACAAGTGCTGGTGCCTTGCTGGATCAAGACCTGAGATGGGATTAGCCGTGATACTGTAGCAGACATCTTCGTCACAACTTCTGGATGTACTCTGGTGTATGCTCTGAAGGGGTTTCCACTGGTGCTGTGGTGGAGAGTGGGAAAAACCTCCCAGTTAACATACACAATTGCAGATCGTGTCCATCACTTGTGGAGACAGGAGGCTTGGGAATGGATGCTTGCCGAAAAGTGCTTGTTTGGTGCCTGGTAAGACAGCTCACCGGGGAGCTACAGTCAGAGCTCAACTGCACGATGGACTGTGGCAGAAGGTCACCTTGCTTCCCCAAAGTATTCCAAACTTTGTATTTTCAGAGCGCTGCCAACTTATATATTTTTGACAACTATGTAATTATCACACGAGTAGTGCTTAAACTTGCCTGTTATCAGTCCTGACTCTTCGTGCTATCAGAGATTACTGTCTTTGGCACCACTTTAAAGCAATCAGAATCTGTACCTGTGCATCTGGAGGAAACTGAAATAATCTCATGTGCAGGTAGGCTTCTGCTTCATGCTGCTGGCAGCGCGGCTGCACTGAACAAAGGAAAAGTTACAAAGGAGAAATCTCTGAGCAATTTTTGTTTTTCAGTCCAAAAGCTAAGGTTGTCCGGGACGTCATTGTTTTTGAAAGATTGGGCTTTACATGAGGGAAAGGTTCAACTTTCCACTCAGAGCTCCATCAATGACATGACATGTTTTGACCAAAAAACTCCATTAGGCTCCTTGTGGAGCTGGAGAGAGTTGTGTGTGTTGTATGTCCCAGCCATACGTTTAGTTCAGGCTCAGACAATTTGTACCTCCCGAGCTCTGCCTGGCGATGCAGTACTAAAGACACATTGTGCTGGGTAGGCGGCAGAGGATGGGATGTTGTGTGACCTCTGGGTCACCCAGGGAATGGGAACCAAAACTCCCAAAAGATTCCACAACGGCAAACTCTCAGTCAGAATTTTTGGATAAATTTTTCAATTTTAAGTCCAAAGTGGTTGAAAGTCTTTGTGAATTTAAAGCCCAGTTTTGTTTAATTCAGTGCTGCAGCCGTAACAAAAGTCTTAAATTATATAGCTATCGAGAGCGCTGGTGAAAGCGGTGTCTCTCCTTGTGCGGCAGTGCTGCCCACATCGTGTTCGACATGGCAGGCAATAGACATTTGTTTCTTTTTGTTTGCCCTGAGCAGTACAAGTACAGAATTTTCCTGTTCCTGCCCTGTGGGATGAATCGAAGGTGTGATCCTGACTGCTCCTACAAAAGGCAGAAACTCAGTCATTAATTGTAGGGCCAACAGAACCTGTTTCCAGCCCTGTAGCAAACTGGTTTTGCCCCCTCTGCCTGCCAGCGCCCGCGCTGCTGCACTGCTGTCCAGGCTGGGGCTGCGCAGGCAGGGATAGCAGCCGTGGGCAGGCAGAGGAGGCAGGAGGGAAAGCAAAGGCATCAAATCCTCTTCATACCCTAGGGAAACTGCCCTCACCACCGCTGCCTGTTGGCAAGCCTGGTTAGCCCAGGAGGAGAGCTGCTGTTCATATCATCTCTTCCAAGCAGAGCTACCTGGAGGGCAGAGGGAGGGGAAAAGCACTCTTCTTGCACGGTGCCAGCTGCATTGCTATTCATTAGCTTGCCTAACTGATTCTGAGCTGCATGGAAACGCGCGGGAGAGTGCCTGTCTTCACAAGCAGAGGGGAAGGTGTGTAGGATATTGATGGTAGATAAGCAGGAAAAAAGTAAAAGGCATGGCATGAGCCAGTTGTCTGCTTTGCTGTGTGCCCTTCTGCTTCCATTTTTGTGTGCTTCATATTTTTCATAGATTTAATCCGCTGCATAAAGATGGTAGAATTGGGTAGGGCAACCACAGAACAGCCGATACCTGACACTGGTCAGATGTGTTCAGGAAGGGTCATCCTGCCAGCGACTGCGGAGCGCACTTGGCCAGCAGCAAGAGGGGCTTATTGAATGCTGATGTTTCCCTGGGAATCCTGCAGGACAAAATCGGTTTGAGACTAAAATGCACAGAAGACATTTTTCAATCATCTGCCAGACTTTCAAGAAGTGAACACACATAGAACAATAACATCTATGAGGAGCATAGCAGGGAAGCAACTCTGATTGCAAATGTCACCTCTACCGATGTTTTGGATGCCAGATAGTATCTCAGGTACTTGCGCGAGGTTGGCAATATGACATGGGACCTACCAGGGAGCACTCCCTTCTTGGGTGGCAGCTGGAGCCTGAGGACATCTCAAATAGCACCAGGCACCTGTGTTTTGGCGACCTGAAATTATTCTGGTTTAAGAGAGGGCTTGGCAATAGGAGGGTCTGGTATTTTGCCGCACCGCTTTTAGCATGCAGTGTTCTCGCTGGTGTTTTGGGGGTGATCTTGCAATGGTGCTCTTCTAGACTCACCTTGGTTGGTCAGTGCCAGAACACCCATTTTGTGCGGAGTCACCCCCAGCCCTTCGGGTCTGGTCCATTCCACGTGGCAGCTGTACCCATCTGTGCAAGGAGAGTGCTGCCCGGGAAGCTCTGAGCCACTGATGCCACCCACGGGACACAGTCGCAGCATGATGAGGAAAGGCTGGGATGGCTGTGCCGGGGGAATGACAGAATATTATGGGTGTTTCTGAACAGTTAGAGCCCAGAAGGCACACACTTGCTCAGTGATTCTAACGTCCAGAGTGTTTTGGCAGGGAATAGTTTGACTGCAGTAGAGCTAACCAGTTGGTAGAGTTTAAAATGTTATCTCGGGATACAGCCACAACAGGAATACTGTGCCCAGTTCTGGGCTCCCCAGTTCAAGAGAGACAGGGAACTGCTGGAGCAAGTCCAGCGTAGGGCAACTAAGATGACTGAGGGACTGGAGCATCTCCCTTATGAGGAAAGGCTGAGAGAGCTGAGACTCTTTAGCCTGGAGAAGAGAAGGCTGAGGGGAGACCTTATTATTGCGTACAAGTGTCTAAAGAGTGGGTTGAAGGAGGATGGAGCCAGACAGTGGTTCCCAGTGACAGAACGAGGGGCAATGGGCACAAGTTGGAACATAGGAAGTTCCATTCAAGTACAAGTAAAAACTTCTTTACAGTTCGGGTGGCAGAACAGTGGCACAGGCTGCCCAGGGAGCTGGTGGAGTCCCCTTCTCTGGAGATTTTCAAGACCCGCCTGGATGCAGTCCTGAGTAACATGATCTAGGCAGTCCTGCTTTAGCAGGGGAGTTGGACTAGATGATCTCTAGAGATCCCTTCCAACTCTGAAAATTTCGTAATTCCATGATTCTGTGAAGAAGAATACATGTGTTTATTTGGACTTCCCGCTATGGAATTCCTTCTCCCGTGGAGCAGAATGGGGTGATGGTGCACAGCAACGTAACTCTTCGTTTGGGGCAAAAGCTAGAATCAGTGTTGGGCAGGGTTAAAACCAATCATCTGTTTATTTCGGACTGTCAGCGTTGTAATCACCCGTTTTGCAAGGTGTCTGGGAGAGTGAAGTGATAGAAACAGTACTTCCACTTCGACCAACCTTCAGCCAAGGGGCCTTTTCTTGCTAAATCAAAAAACTTTCTGTTCTAGTGTTTGCACAGGGGAAACTGTCCCTTAGTGTAAATGTAAAAATCATAAACCCTTCCAAAACTAATACTTGGAAAAAGCGCCGGTGTTTGAAAAGATGTTACTTGTTCTTGAGGCGCTGCTGGTGAGCTCTCAGCCAGCCCTTTTGCCGGGTGATGGTTGGAACCACTCTGTCCTTCGTTTTGGTGTGTGCGACTTGAGAGAAGGGGACGGGGATAGAGCACCTCGA